ATCCATCAAATTATCCATCAAATTTACAAAGCACTTCTCAAAATCATCAAAATGTGTTAACTTCAAATTTGAGTCCGAATATAAATACTCTTAATCATCAACGTCCTCCAAACAGTAGTCGACCTTCAAACAGTAGCCAACCTTCAAACAATAGTCGACCATCAGATTCATTTTTGGATCGAACTTCAAACTTGTTTTTATTAAATACATTAAGTGCGTTTCTATCTCGAGCAGGATCTCGGATTCGTCGTTATAATCCCTCTCCAACTCCTTCATCAAATCTCGAAGAATTTACTGTGGTAATTCCAGTACTTGACAATAAACCTAAAAGAAAAAATTTAAATGCTTCTCCAATGAAAAATCCTCCTTTTTGGAAAAGACTAGTTTGGATGGTGCTATCAGTTTTAAATGTTTATACTTTTATTGGGAGTATTATCTTAATGATCATTTTATCTATAAATGGGAATATCACAAGAGTTAGTTCTATTTTTTATGTACTCCATTATTGTTTCTAAAAAAGTGATAATCTAAAATCTCTCTATCCTTATAATTTTTTTATTAGTCCTTTTCAACGTCACATTATGTAATTATAGCCATAGGTACTTTGGAATTTGCTCCTCGTTTAATGAATATTTATCAAATCCATTTTTACACCGATGGGAAAATTAGACATTTTGAAGTTTTGGCTATTATGTTTGGTACTAAACATTTTAGTATTTTGATATTATCGTTATATTTATATTTTGATATTTTACTTTTTTTATTATATTAAATAAATTTCTTAAAAATTATTCACTCATAAAAATTTCATTAAATTATTCATATATTCAGGAAAAAAAGAACTTTACTTACTCTACGGTAAACAACATCTAACTTATAAACAAGTCTCATATGTAAGTTATACGTCTGATGTGCTCACTTTTCTTTATTGGGCACTCCTAAGTTATGAACTTGTCTCGGGGATTCAACAAAATTTAGAAAATACCTTTGAATATATTTTATTGCATAATAGACAGGGGGTTTTAATGCTTTCATTATTAAGTGTTGTAACATTAATTATCCTAAAGATCTTATGGGGCCTTATTAAACGGGCTGTCTATTTTGCTGACAGACATGCTTAATTATTTGAAGATTTTAGTTGTAAAAAAGAATATATCAATGGATTTAATGAATGTGAGCGTATTACCTTAGACTTTAGATGTAAAAAAATATACCGACG